CTGATTAGCGTCACAGATGCGCATTAACCAAATTTACAGAGACCACGCGTTGAAGGGGTTAGCCGCGCAACTATAAATTCAATGTCACGTTTAAGATGCGATCTGTAAAATCTGTGTATGTCGAGGCGCATTAAACGTACGACACCGGTGCTGAAATTGCTGTTGAAGTCGGCATTATATCAAATAAAATGTTTGTGCATTCTTGATCCACACACGCACGAAACCTGAAACATTCCTCCACGAACCTATTTCCTCCAGGCTATTATTTGTTTGAGCCTTTTGCGTTTCAATGAAATTAAATCATATTCTCTTGCCTTTGTTAAATCGATTTGTTTCATCCCTAATGTAATGTTTTTCATCTGAGTTATTCAGTTGTTTCTCATCCGGCGGGCTCAGTTTGCTTGATGTATTTTTCTTCTGATTCCTCTGTGCGCATGCCGAAACCGCTTATTATTTCGAGGCTATCGCCACCACATAGTCCATCTGTTCTCAATTTTCCCATGGATTACATATGATTTAAAATATTTCATTGCTGTACTACCTACCTTATTGAGGAACTCACGATACGTTTTACCAGATAAATATATCGGCCAGGTAGCTGGGTAGCACCAGACACGAATTTCGGAGCTTAAATGATATCAACGTTTTCTTCATGAATTTTGGTAAAATCATTTAAACAGTTCTGATAGTACAGGTCTACGGCAGTCGGTAATCAAGTCACACGTAGATCGGTTATGCGCTCATCTCCTACAGAACAACACACTGCCGAACCATGTCTACCGCAGTGCTGGCATTAAAATTCCATCAATTTGGGTTGGACATACTGACAACCTGGGCAATAACAGAAATCAGATTTCAAGCAAAAGGCATCAGAAATGACGCATCAGAGGCTTCACAACAACAATTGAAGGCCCATTTAAATCAGAGCGCACTCAGAATCACAGTTACACAAACTCAGGCACGGTGGGCGATTTCGACTACCAACTTAGAACTGCATCAACAAGAATGCACCATTTGGTTGCAGGTGACCCTGCATTATTTATTTTTTGTACAGCCCCTTCACACAGTTCACACGCGGCAACCGACACCTAATATTGGTGTCGGATTAATTCAATCCATGGTTAGCCCATTTGCAAATGTGTAACAAGAACAATTTGGTGTTCCTGAATCAGTGTACTGAACTAAGGGAGAATCTGGCGAATCACACGTCTTTTCTACTAGTTTTTTGACAGCTGCGGATTTCGTAATCCTGTTAAAAATTCTTAGGAGTTTTATTTGCAAACAAGTAATGGCTTATTGGTGGTCGGACCAAAGTTTGCCCTACCACTCGTTTATGGTGGAGAACAATGAAACATTACCGCAAGCAAACACCTTTTAACGAAGCTCATGAAATTTCCGCGGTCGAATGCAACAAACTGTACATTAGCCCGAGTCAAGAATTTAGATTTCATCTGACAATACGCGTTCCATTGAACAATCCGTCATTCAGCCTGGTAGCGGCCAATTAGTCAAACTTTGCACGCGTGTAAGGTGTCCCGTGTGCATTGCTGAATTGAAATTCATCAGGATAGATTTCAAATTCAACATCAGTTTTTGGAACACCTGAGGGAAGAAACGTCACCCTAGGTTCAAAGATAGTACCCGGATATTAGCGGTTACTAATAAAAGTACACAGAATACCACAAGGAGGTGACCGTAATGTGGCCGCCTAACAAGCATCATTTACTAACGCTGTGTATCACATTCGCAACGCTCAAATTAAAGAATTTAATCGAGACTTTTGAATGAAACTCCTGGTTATCCACCCGTGCTCAACCATGCCCAATGTTGGATAGCTTAAGCTTGCGCGTTAAGCCATATCTTGTTCTCGCCTCATAAACTGGATTTCAAATAACCTTCATTTTGTCGCTCCATGTTTAAAACCATCTTCTTGTTCTAACTGTTCAGCGGGTCAGAATATTATTCAGTCTGTATGTTGTGTCGCATTAGAGCGTAACACATCCACACTCCTACTGTCGAATTTACACGGCATTGCACATGATTATATTTGTGTCACTTTAAGCCATTGGTCGTGCACGCATATATATTCGACTTTTGTATCACACAGTTCAACAGTTGTAACAAGAGGGAGCCAAATTTAAGCCGACCGAGATCAGTACGCCTGCACTCCGTGGTACCTGGTTCCCGCGGGCAGGGTTATTTCAAAACGGCATACTGCCTGATTTTGTACCGTAAGCACCCTTTTTGGACGAACCTTAAAATAATGCAACAAAAAGAACACGCTTCGAGTTTTGCGAAACCATTTGACCAACATCTATGTAGCCCGCAACATAGGCTCTGGCGTAATAATCGTCCAGGCAAATATCTCGGGTTCTACTTGCCGTCGAAACTGGGCAATATAAACGGGCAGTCACGACGAGCTTTATTAAATACACTTAAAGCCCAGAAATAGCCGATATTTCGGCGCTAAATAATAACCTATACTACCGACACTCTCGATTGTAGATGAAACCATAGGCGTATAAAAAAACAAAATTTATATAGCTCTCTAAATGTCTCATGAATCTGATCACGCCCGTTTGCACTGAATATTTACGCCTATTACATCTCTGTCTTAGCATGATCAAAAAAGGGAAAACGTATTCCTTGTAAAATTTTACGTAATTTCAAATTTTTAACCCTAATCATCAACGTCCAAGCTCAAACAAGTGAGTATTTCCCGTGTTATATATCAGTTTTCTCTTTTAAAAAGTCCCTGTTGGGGGTGAGCATTTTGGTTACTTAAAGCATCCATCACAGTAGTGAACAATCAAGTTGGAGTAGGGGCGATTCAGTGATTCCTTGAGCGCTGCCGTGAACCGGCAAATCACTAAGCGCAGTTACGTACAAAAACCTAGCAAAACGCGTCTAGTCCAAGGGACAAATGAAATAACTGTGACTGAAATTAAACTTATTTAATGGTGGGAATATGATAGGTCTGTGTTTAGCTGTTTTGTTCTCCCCTTGATTGTTGATGGATTTGTGGATTCGTCGTCCTCCTACCAGATGAATGTGCGTGGGATCCGTTGTGCTCCTACTGCATGTGGGCAATGACCTTGCCAATAGCGCAAACTATAAAATTTTTCGACAGAATGCGGCGAATGTTGTGAGCCCAGCTAAGGTTGATGGCTGCGTATCAAAAATTGGGGAAAATTCAAGAGCACATGTTGTCAGCCGAGGTCGCATCAAGGCGCTGTTCTTGTTACCAGGTTTTAGTGCTTTTGACCTATTATATCATTTTCTCGGTAAAGTTGTTTGTATGAACACAAAAATAAGGTTTATATTTTCTGTTGTAATTAGCGGATTTCGTTTGAGTAAATAAGTAGCGATGAAAACCATCATATTTGGTTGGCAGAATAGAAGGCATTTGTTAATTACTCTAACACTTTTATTCCGACATATTTTGACACCGTGACGATCAGGAGTCAGTTGTGCGTAACAAACTACGGAAATGAATGGCGGCTGAATGAATTTTTTGGCCAAGTAAATAAATAAATCCGGCGGAGTGAACAAGAGCTTCTTGAAATTTTTAAGCACATGCAACCATGTTGTCATATTTACCTCTCAGAATAAAAGCGCCACAAAAATACATGGTGTAACGGTGATACTACTTATGGGGAGGCACGTGAGCAGTATGTGTTGTTCGTAGAATTATCACATTATGTCTGTTGAAAAAGAAGATCTGTTGCAGAATTCGTGGAGCCACTTTGTAACATTTGCTTGGTTTTGACGAATGAATGGAGTCAATGAATTTCCGGGAAAGTTCAAGAAGAAGATCGGTGTCCAGGTTTTGTAACTAAGATGCAGATTGGACTTTTGCTTCCCTGTTCAATGGTCTGTAACGAGTCAGTTGGCATTTCCAAATAAATAACTCCGGAGTTCGATGACACTGGTGGGGCATAAATTTGGTAACGAAGAAGTTAGTCCATTGCCCGGAAAAATTGCAGAGATCAAAGATTGTGCTGTTCCCAATTCAATGCGTTCTCTACGGCAGTTTCTTGGTCGAACAGCATACTACAGCAGGTTCGCTAATGATTTCAACAAGATCGCGGGAAGCTCGCACGATGGGCACTCCGGTCACAACAGTACGATTTCACAATCCAGGACGTGCTCGGGAAGTTAAGCCACTTGGCTAATTGGCTGTCAAGGCCAGAGCCTGAGGAATTGGTCCCCAAGATCATGATTGGTGCCGATGGCCTCGTCGTCGAACTGGATCCCGGAAAGTTAGTGGAACTCCAACGGCAGGATCCGGTGTTACTTGAATGCCATGAGATGGCACATACAGGGTGCACCAAGACATACGACCTACTTCGGCAGAGGGCCTACTGGCCCGGGATGAGAAGTGAGGTGATGGATTATGTGCTGTCTTGTAGGCGTTGCCAACTAATGAAAGCGGATACGACAGGCGGAACCCATCCCATGGAACCCATTCCTGTCTCAGAAATAGGCGAGTTGTGGTCAGTTGACGTCATGGGCTCCTTTCCGGTGACAACCAGTGAGAACTAATACATCGTGATGATGACAGGTCGCCTGTCGCGATGGATTAAGGTGGCAGCCGCGCCGAATCAGCGGGTGACGACGATCAGCGGAGTGGTAATGCATCACATCGTGGCCAACGATGGGGTGTCAAAAATCATCCTAAACGATCAGGGGCCTTGCTTCGAGAGCGAAGAGTTTCGTAATTGCTTGCAGAAGCTGGGTATCAGACGGCTAAGGACGGCACCATACCACCGCAAGCAAATGGCCTGACCGAACGTAACAACAGAACGATCAACGAGTGGTTTGCGGCCAAAGGAGGTGATTGGGAAATGAACTTGCCAATGTTGTTGTTAGGTCATCGTGCTTCCACGCAGTCAACCACAGGCAAGTCCCCGTTTATGCTGATGTACGGTCGACATTTGCGCCCTCCGGTTGATCAGGAATTTTGCTTGTGGCCGGCCACACGCTTGACTCCGTAGGAGCTAGAGGAAGAAAGAAAGAGAGCTCGAGAAACTTAGACCGCCGTTCAGGAAAGGACTAGGCAGAAAACGGCAAGTAGAAAGGTCCGAACGTTCCCCATAGGCACGAATGTCAAGTGGAAGGATCACCAGAATCGTGGAAGGAGTGGACTGGGGTCGCGGAAGCAGGGCATTGAATGGCAAGGCCCGTTTGTCGTCACCGTCTATACCATTCAAGATGGTCGGGGACCAAAAGCAGTGAATGAGATGCAGCTGGCATGACACAAGTATCATGGTACACCCGAAATGCGGCCGAGTAGACCCGCTACCGAAGCCGACCTGAAGGAGGTAAATAAAAATCGATGGCATGCAAACGGGCATTAAGGAGTGGAGGTGTGTAACGGTGATATTACTGATGAGGAGGCGTGCGAGCACTATGTGTTTTTCGTAGAATTTCCCTTGCGTCTACTAAAAAAGGAAGATCTGTTGCGGAATTAGTGGAGTCACTTTGTAACATTTGCTTGGATTTCACCGACGAATGAGTGGAGTCAATGAATCTCCAGGAGAGTTCAACAAGACTCGTCAGTGAGAAGATCGATGTCCAGTTTTTGTAACTAAAATGCAGCTTAGAGTTTTGCTTCCCTGTTCGATGGCATGAAACCGGTCAGTTGGCATTTCCGAATAAATAAACCCGCAGCGAAGGCCTTCTTCCTTTCAATGTTAGACGGGATTCCGCCCCAAACCAAATCCAAGGGTGCAGTATGTTAGGACGCACCTCACTCTAGTAACCCATCCATAGTTTACAGCGAGTGCTCACCGGCGCAATTTCTAGTGCTTGCATTACGTTTGAAATATTCTAACAAGTTATTTTTAAATCAAGCTTCCCTACTCAAAGTTCCCCACTGCTTTTCAACCCTGTGCATCCACATGAAGATGAAACATTTCAAGATTACACAAGGTTGCTGATCTTTGGTGGGGTTTAGAGTTGCAGTCGCTATTTGAAACGCCTGCAGCTCTTCAAGGTTCGACGTGAAATCATTCTGGAAGATTTGGTAGTGGACATCTACGGCAGTGTTTATTACATTGCGGACGGCAAAAAGTGATGGTAGTGGCTCCCAAAAATAGCGCATGCCGCCAAAATTATGTTTGGCGTGGGATTATGATCATGGTCGTGACTGGCCAATGCAAATGTTGTAGCGTAATATTTCCTATATATATAGAGGATAGTTATATATATATGGAACAACGTGGTCGCTGATGTGCCCATGAAAATATACCTGGTGTGAATAGCAATATTTGCACCAAACACGCCAACTTATTTTGGCCTTTCTAAATTTGAACTAAGGACGGCAAAAAACTGCATATTGGACTTAAAAACGTCTAGCCTTTATTTAAAGTTCGGTCGACGCATACAGGATAAATAGCATTTAAAAATTATTTAACAATTACGTTTGGAACAGTGGCGGATATTACAGTCCAGGTTGAGGCCTCAAAATCATGGACAAACCGGCAGTTTCTGTTTTTAGAAGAACATCCAAGTTAATCTACTGCGAATATATCCGCCATGTTTCTAAGGCGTATCCAATTACCACCAGCATTGGCAGTGAAAAAATGTGAAAATTCGCCATTTTCAGTTCAAACGTTCCCCACACATAATCGGCCGGACAAGGTTCCAAACTTGCCAAAAACCATTCAGACTGCAAAAGTTCGGCTGATTTATCACCATTTTTGATTGCTTCCGAAAACCAGAAATGCATATTTGATATAATGGATTTAACTGCGCTTTTAAACACCACGCTTCTTTTGCAGGTAGCCCTGTGGCAATACGGCAGGAATGTTCTTGCATAGCAGCTATTTAAGGTGGCATATTTGCGGTTTTCACGCTCCGAATTTCAGTGGACGTTTGATATAATGCAGTTCATCTGAAATAAATTTTTGCAATCCTCAACCTGACAAGCTAACTTACACATTCTTATAGGTCAGAAAATCCCAAGAAACCTTGTTTCGTTTGCTTGCCGTTTCATAGGAATGCGTACGCACTTGTAAATATGCGCTCGTTTGAGCTACCGGAAACAATAATGTATTTGTTAACTAGATCCGCTAGATATTGAATGAAGCATATTTCACGAATTCAGCCGCTGTTCTTGGTACATACATTAAAACGCAATCGTCAATTCGATATTCCAAAGGGGTTTTTCAGACAATCTAATGGGAAGATTGCCAGAAAACATCCACTCTGGCTGACGGTCACCGTCACACAGTGTGCCGTCAGTGCCCTCTACATGACAGAGTCTTGGACCGTTTTCGTTGAAACCAGGCGCATAGTTGGCACCCGCCAATATTGCCTTGTTACTTTCGCAAGTTACCATCCAATTGGAGAAAAACACTGTAGGGGATAGTTTATTTGTGTCAACCAAGATGTCCCTGGTTCCAACATGCCACAACATTATATGCCAAATATTCTGTTCATTTGTTTATTGCATACTAGTATTGCTGCAAATGCGAAATATGGCGGTCTGTCTATTCAAAATTTCGATTGAACACATCGTCCTTGATAACTGACCATTACCACACACGCTAATAACGATCCAGGCAGATTCTTTTAGTTTACCCTTCCAGACTTTCAGCTTTCGACCGCAACTACAATTTACGTAAAACTACGTCAATGCCTTTGTTTTGGTGCCACAATACTCCAGGTACCCCAAGTTGGATAAACCACGATAATGGTTTGCCTTGTACTGATCACTAGAAAGCATGAAAACCTGCTGAAGAATCCGGATATGTAGGCCAAATTTCTATGCGGGGAATTTGACAAATGATGGGTTTACCAAGTTTAAAACAACATCCATCCAACAGTTATTTCATTTTTTCGTGGGACCGAAAATAAATTTCACTAAATGCGCAGCGTATACGATAATTCCTCTCCAGGTAAAAATGTGGCATTTGGTACAAAATTTTGCAGCATTTCCCAAGGGAATCTTTGTTCTTATTTTACTATCGGCCTATCACGAAAACAGCTGGTGAGTCTATATTTTAACCAGATCCCAAGATATCCACATTTTTGATTCCAGTTCAACTCGTCAAAATACCAACGGCGGTCTACTAAATTGCTGATTCAGGTTGAGGTTATCTTCCAATAGTTGTGGGATCGCATTTTTAAGAACATGTTTTGCAACGCACAGCATTTAGTTGAAGCAAGGAGATTGTAAGTAACCTGCATCGTGCAATATTTCAATTAATCATCTAAAACAAAACGCCTGCGATAAGCGTCAGAATTTGGAAGATACTTTCCACGCAGTTCACAGGCAGAGGCTGTTTTTATCTGGTTCTTCGGTAAATCGACCATCAGTTCTCACATGCCAGTTTTCTGATAAGGTCCACAAATTAAAATTATTCGAGTTATGATAGTATAACAGATGCATGTGGAGCTTGAAGTAATGCATAACACGGCCCATTTGAACACGTTTTATGTCGTATAATGGACCAGTTACTGCCTGAAAATTTCCCACTTCCCACATGCCATAGCGTTGTGTTGGCGACGAATTTCATTTTGATTATAGAATATGTCCCAAAAACTGCTTCCCGCCCGCGCGCCAAAATGTTTCCAAATGCACGAGTTGCTGTAAACGTGTAGGTATTCTGATTGCCCCGAACCTGGTAATAAGCGGCATAAAATTTATCCCGAGTTGCACATCTCTGCAAATGAAACGAACAAACCGAACTCAACCGACATTTGAATGGCTGCTCCGAGGGTTAAATTGGACTACACATTTCAGAAATTACCGCAGTGGCGTAAAATATCCATGTAGAAGCAACGCGGTGCATACCCACTTGATACTTCCAAGGTACGGCCGAACTCGCAAAACAAAACGTCCCAATACGTGTTGTCAGATACACCGAGTAGCCGCGTGAATTGCGATCCGAACACCCGAAAATTCCGCCGAGGTTCACTGACACTGCACTGGCAACCAACGTAAGTCTGATGAAACCCATCAATCCGCTATAAAAACTTATTCTTGTTTGCAGTAATCTCCAACAGCACAACCACGGGTAAGGATTTAACGTGATTTTATTTTATCAGGCATTTGCTGTGTTCTGGGGGAACATGATGCCACGAGAGAATGTCGCACATTATAATATACCGTCAAACACGCAGTCCCAATCCGGACCATGCCTTGTTTAAAATCGTAAAGAAAAAAGTTTTCGCGCCGTATTGTTGTAATGCGGTGTGTCTACAACTCCATTCAGGAATACATGCTAAGCACTTTTATCTAGCGACTAGTTGTGATGCAAAATTGGTTTCTTTCAGTACAGGCATTTTATTGCTGCAAGACTGAAATCTCACTTCCTCTTTGTTGAACAAGAAGCGGATTGAATGCACAACTGCCACATTTTTTTCGGAAAAAACCCTCTGCACCCCATATATATAGATCGAAAATTTATCATTGTTCTTGTTGTCTATTTAACACAATTCCAATAAGAAAGGCACATCTTGCTGTAATCATGTTCTTCGTGGTTCAAAAAATCCTAATACTAACAACAATACTGTGAAAATAGTTGAGCGAAATGAAACAAACACAGGGTTTCTTAATTTAAAACGTCAACAAATGCTTAACAATATTATGATATTTAATTTATTTTTAACATAAACGTCGCTAGACTTTTAATTTCCAGTATTGCCAACACATACATTGATCGCTGGGATAGATATCATGCACACGGTATTACGACAAGTTGATCAAAAATCCCGAGAATTAGCTAATTTTATTAAGTAAACAAAATGAAAAATCATTGTGGAATGAGGTATGTATCAAAGGCGCATATCACAGTCAAAATCAGGCCTCTGAACAACAAGTGATCGCCTAATCATCAAACAATTTTCGAGTGTACTCGGGCTTTTAAAGTTTGGGCTATATCACAAAGTGCGAGGACATCCAAAAGGTTTCTTTCGTGTGCAACGCGATTATCACAACATGCAGTAAGGTAAATAAAGCCTTGAGATATCGTGTTTCCATTTCAAATGCACATAAATTTTAGCACCCGGAAGTAAGTTCACAGCATGTCAAATACACATTTTACGCAGAATTTGTTAGCTTAGATATTTGCATCAAAAGGCGGAAGCGCTAGAACTGTTTTAAAATCCCCTTCCTTGAACATCACCTTAATTTTCCTGGTAGCTTTGTACTGATGCGTTTGTCAAAGGTTGCCTTACAATTGACACACCTGGGTTTTGGCAGGCTATAACTTTTGGCAAATGATTGAGATAAGTTTTGCCTACCTTTGGTGTTTTACGACCGCTACACCTGCATAAATGGAAAGCTGACAAATACTTTACCACGTGCTGAGAAATATCGTCCTGCATAGTAGAGATCGTCGATGGTAGCATGGGCAGGCATCCACTGTTTGCTGTTCGACCGACGCCATGAAGGCGAAGGCATGAAAATTGCGACTAGAATCCGCTGGTATTATAATGCAGCATGTGCTACACATTAGGCTTCTGTTATCAGAAACCAAATCAAAACCTAGTCAGTATCTCAGACGGGTTTCGGAGGAAATAGTCATTCTGTTGTAACTACAACGCCAGGTTTTTTAACTTCTGGTGTCAAGGCCAAATATATGAGACCCGTTTTAGTGAAACCAAACCTATAAGTAGCATCAGCAGGCTTAGAAACAACCAGTCAAATAAGAGTAGTTTAACTGCTTAGTCGTCTAAATCCCATGTGGAACAATATTTCGCATACAACAGTGAAATTTGCTTTGCTTTGGTTCAATGATACTCCGGGTACCCCAAATAAGAAATACAGCGGTGGTACCTTGCTTTGTATTGGGGATCACTGAATCGCCTGACAGTGTGTTGCCGACCTCCAAGGACGCGAGGCAAATTTGTTTTTTACGTTTTTATGAAGCCAACTTAAAATTGTATCGATATCCAGGTATTTATAGACGAAACGCTAACATTTCCGAGTAGGCCACGTGTAAGCATATTGTATCCCCATCCAAACATGTGTTAGTTGGATTACATTTGTCACAGTCTCCGACAAAAAAGTGTGATGTTCCCCTTTTACCATGCATCTTTCACGAAACCAGGTGGTGAGTTTACATTTCAGCGAAAATACGAAAAAAACTCACCCTCTTCATGCTTCATAACAAACCCTAACAACCGTGATTATGGAGGGCCATTCGATCATAAAGAAACAACACTAAATAATACTGATGATATTTATATGGACGCTCCGATAGTTTGAGGAATTATTTGCGAAGAAATATCAGGAATGTGCTTCAAAATTTTCGAAAGGAACAATACAGGCCGCCTTCATGGGAATGCTTTGGATAATTCGTACAGCACACCCATATATGACCTTGAACCTTAAAATAAACAGATAATATGATGGGTATACAGGGTGCTTCTAGTATCATATGTGAGTGCGTGACTTTTTGCTGAAGGCTGCATAACTGCTGGTTGTGCAACAACAGATATCCATCACAGTTCCCAAATTGTGTATTTTATCAAACATGCCATTACCAGACCGCTTCTAACACACTCATTATTTCTTAGCAGATTGTACGCTAACAACAGACAGATGTTTATGTCGGGTAGCCAAGGTGAACTAGTACTACTAAGCTACGAAGCCGAATTCAGCAACGTATTCAATTGCTGTATTATAAATTTGATCACATCCTTCAGAGTTGGCAATCCGAAACAGATTAAAAGCTCGAATTGACTAAGACATTCATAGAACCACGTAGATACCGGGCTTCAAACCTCTACACCCCATTTTTTGCGCAAAGCCTGATAAACATACGGTGGAATCTTAAGTTATCATGGAGCAATGGACCGGAGATTCCCAAATTTATGCGCAGACTGTGTCAAAATTAATAGGTAATCAAATTTGTCGGTTGTGGTTTCTCCTTGGAACTTATCCTGTTCTTAAATGATTCATGAACACCGGATAAGTGATCGCAAATGGAACTCTTAAGTTTAGATAAATCTGACCATCATTAACTGGATTGCCACATCGCTTTTAGTTGCATCTATTTTATTTTCAACGGGTCACACAAAAATTCGCCGTTGATATATACTACCTGTACGTAGCTTCTTAGTTCGAGTCATCTAATGAGCAAATTGTTTCAGGCACCCTTTATGGAATTTAAGGACACGAAAATCAACCGCGCACCATTACGACTGCATCTTAATCAGTCATGCCCCTTTTTATTTCAGGTATTTATTTAGACGGTTGGTTTAGAATTTGGTGCATTCACATTTTGCACACAGGTTCCCAAAGACGTGCGGTTGACATATCTATTCATTTGGAATCAGTATATTCGACGTCAGGCAACGGAATCACTCAGTTGTTTAGTTTTAGCATTCTAACTTTTCCGAAACCTAGTTATTTCCTGACAAGCTCCTTTCGAAAGATTTTCCGTCCCCAAATCGGTATCGAGCAAGACATATTTTTCGCTCTACGTCATTTCAAGATACCATTACTGATTGCACAGCGACTAGCGCGGGCTAGTTTCACCAATTACTTATCCCTGCTTATACAGGACCTTCACCAGACACATTTATTCTTCTTCCCCGAAAGCCAAACGATTGCTCGGCCACTGGATTGCTGTTTTCTCCGTCTTTCCCATGGTTGTCGTGTAAGTTTAAGGACGTTGATAAAGTGTTTTTGTTCATTAGCGAGGCGTCAGTTTATTTGGCAGATGATTTCAGTTTCACATCAAGTAAGTGCTTTCTTGCATGCGATTGGCATCATTCATACTAAATTATACTATGCTGTTGACCAAGATTTTTTCAACGTCCCCATCTGCTGATACGTTTTGCAGTAGCTTGTTGTAACTAGTGACAGTGGGTACAAACATCGGTTGCAAAGGATGGCTGCCTAACTTCCCTACTTTTATATTCCAACGGCTTCGTGCTAAACATTGGAAATGCGAATACAAAAGCTTAGAACTTACCGCAGCACAATAGTGGTGATAGCATTCATACAATAAATTGCATCCGCCGAGCCACCTGTAAAGACAAACAAAATTATTGATAATTAGCCACCCACCGTTTACTCTAAGATTCACGAGTAAAAACACAACACGCAAGGGGTGGCATGACTCGAAGCAAATGCTTCCTCACGTAATAAGTTCGGGAAAGTTTCCGATTATTACGAGCAAATTGTTCTGTTACCATTAATGGATTAAACAGCTCTACTTCAAAAACATCAAAGGATGTCCTTACAAATCACATGCTAACAAGAAATGCGCAATGCACTGTTATGCCGAACTCTTTCCATAGCGTTAAAAACCATAAAAAATAGACTGTAGATCAAGGTTAAAATAAATTATATATTTAGGCCATATAATTATATGTGTGTATGTGATAAACATTGCTGCCTGGACATTTGTCTCTGCTGAGGCTGTGAATACGCGTATTGAGATAACCTAACCTGACCCAAGATAATTAACACTAAGTTTTGTTTAGTTTCTGGATATTGTCCTGACTACGTTGACTGTTATTAATTGGTGAGCAATGTTACAGCGTTTCTACACTTTCGGATCATCTCACGTATATGTGCTCAGAATGAGTGATGCATTTATAAATTAGTACTGCATCAAGACACACTTTGAATATTCTCTGTTTTCTTTTTGCTTGCAGCCCTATGGGATAACTTGTTGGTGGAAACAGAACATTCCCATATGTCGTCCAGTGAACTCAAAATTTTATCCATGTGATGTGGAACACCTCTAACATACCATGACCTTTCTTGTGTGTCCGATGCCGAACACTGACGTGATGTTCCACGCTATAAATTTTGATTTACCGCGTTACTCATTTCACCTTTATGTATCACTTTCATGTTGGTTGGCTTACAATATGGATTAATCGATATTTCGTGTGTGTTGTTATACACTGCTGTTGTAACACTTGTGCAATGTTTCCCGGATTTTCACCAGGACTTTTTTTTCATTTATGGGAAATATCTTCACAAAACGGAAGCGACCTGACGACATTTTGGACAGAAAATCTTGTTAGCTTGGAGCTGCAGTAAACAGAGACTGCAAAATGAGCAAGACGCATGGAGATTGATATGTAATTTATCACACGCGTTTCAATTCGTCACGCGTTTTGCGGTGTGACTGATGACTCGATTATATTCGCTGTTTTGGAAAAACAGCCTGTTGTCATGATGTATGCTCATTTCTGTGCCTGAGCTCGGAACATAATACAGAGTGGAGGCTTGGAATATGTAGAAAACGTTTATACTGGAGGTGGGCCTATGAGAGTTTCAGCTTTGCTGTAGGTCTTACAAAAGCATTCGAATACAGCGCCTAAAGTATTGTCTCAGCTACTTCGCCTGTTTCAACACATCCCTCCCAAGAGTCGTGTTGCATGCTAGAAAGTTTTGTTACCATTTGAAACCAATGAAATTTCACAGCCACAAACACAGGATAGCATACCCTCAGTGTTACGCGTTCTTAAAAAGCGGTGGCGCGTAGAAAAAAATAACTTCGCGCGGAAGATAAATAATCTTACAAGGATTCCCAGAAACAGTCAGACATACCCAAAAATCGCCCCTAAAAATGAAAACATGTAATTATCTGTCATGGTTTTTATATAACGTGCTGAAAAATTTTCATCGTTAGTGCAAGCGTAAAACAGGTCAACGCATTACCGCGATTCATTACTCGAGCGTTAGTCGTTGGTCCTTACTTGCCGGAGGGTCGTTTGAAGTAGAACGACATTCCGACTCGATCGTTGAGTCTATATTATGCTCAATGGCTGGAGCAGTCCGAATTCTGCGAAAAAAATCGCCAAGAATATTTTGTATGGTTTACACGTTATAGCATGCGAATAATACAAAATCTAACAAAGCGAAATAATAGAATTTCCGGTGTTAGTGCATTCCGGCGATTACTGTAACACATAGCGTGTTTCTACACCACATTGCATTAGTGCATTCCGGCGATTACTGTAACACAGCGTGTTTCTACACCACATTGCAAAAAATGCACCTCATCAACTCCAGAAAACATCTGGTGATTATGCTATCCCGGCCTAATGCAGACCCTTGAGACAAGAGCAGCAAAGAGCAACAATTTCCTAGCCATTTTGAACTCGAAACCGTGGTTTTGAAACCGAAAATAATTTTGTTTGGCTTTCGACAATAATGAGCAAAACTATAGGCTTTTTCGTGTAACTCATATCCGTCTTTGTCATCTCTGTAAAAAAGCATAAAAAGCGACAACGTGCTGTGCACATTACAAACCTTATTATTTTGATCACATGTAGGGGGGTTGTTTCATGTCGGCTGTTATTGCTGCAACACGAACAAGGTTGCAATAACGGTGATTGAATTTAATCGCGCTCACCATACTATAAAGTAAGCTTGATTGCAAAAATTCGCCTGATAAACTCGTCTAATTTAGGCGAAGTAGATTACGAACGAAAAAGGCTGACAGACTTCACTAAAAGCGAGTTGAACAAAAAATTCTTCTCAGGCGAGTGCGTTTTAGATTGGTGTAACCACAGGTGATAAAGAGGTTAAATGACCGTACCAACAAGCAAAATAGTGAGAATTCTGCAGTGCCAGTTACTGGTTTGTCAGCATTGCTTCTCAAAAGATTGTCTTCTATTCTGTTGCACATCCGCATGTCACCTTAATTTCACCTTATTACCTTTCGCGCACAATGGACGATAACCCAATATGAGCAGTATACTCACCCTATGTAAATAGCTTTTTGGATTAACAAGATAAGGCAGGTTACGCAAGCCAAACTTACAAGAAGCTTCATGTTTTTCAACCTAAAATTTATGAGCTGCTGACAGGCACTATTACTATTACTTTTTCCGCTATTTGCCAAGCCTAGCAACAAAAGTTGTTGATAAATACGGGACCAATTAGGAACAAAACACTGTTAGCATATTTGTTTCCAGGGTATCCTTAGGCGCAACCAATTTGGGGGGGGGGCGGAGTTGAGATGGACGTGCGTTGTTCACGGGTGGAATTTCCGACTTCCTAGACGAAGGACCAAATTTTTTTTTAATTTTCACAAATTGGCGCAGATAATTTTAGCTGAGGCCTTTTTCCACTATAAGCTTGTGTCAATAATCACCTAACAAAAGGGGTTGCTTTCAGGAAGGTTTTAGGAACACAATGATCGAAAACAGTTGAGTAATGCTACTTTTGTTGTTAGCCAATCAAATCATATATGAACGATTTTTTTGGATTTTAACTACAGCGAGAACTAAAATCAAAAATTACTGGTTCTGAATTTTAACCACACTTATTTACCCACGTAGTAGGAAAACAGCTCATAGAAATAAATTAACAATAGAAAGCAAACACAATGCAGTTAATGGTACATAAATCTTAAATCTCCTGCAACATATCTCAGGCCAACAAACGTGAGAGATCAACATCAACATACGATGTCATACCCCGCGCGCAGCACCCACAAATCAAGTCACCGCAAACAACATTTATTCGAAAAAAATCAGAAGATATTTTAACATGGTCACATTTTAATTACACATTTTATTCCGAAGTCAACTTTATAATTTTCCGATATATATGAGCGCAATACAAAACTGGACAGCCCTCCTGTGGTACAAGATTTCAAATCACCCGAACATTTCACTGGACATTAAAACAAACAATTATGTAAAATCTGCACGCAGATATTACCCTCATAAATATTCTTGCGCGACTATTTTACGCGTGCGGTTTCATTGACTTAGATAAGTGACCTTGATGGACCTAGCTTGTTTGAGCCACGGTTTAAATTCATCACCCATATTGGTCAAACTTTCTCTACTCGCCATACTCTTAGTTATCTTTTTGTTTTGCGCTGGTCCAGCGGATTGCTTTCGTTATGATTGATCTCCTTAATTAAGTTCGTCCCAATGGACACCTAACTTGTCAGTCGGGTAAAAATGGTTCCGGTTTTTTTTTCTGTAAAAATGTAGATGCATTTTATCGTACCAATCCTGTGAAATCTCGCACAACATCGAGATCACGGGTAATATCTTCCCAATATAAAAACATAAGTAATGTTTAGCTTTCACACCTTCATTACCAAACCCTTAAAATAATGATCATGACTGTGATCACCTGTACACCTGTACACATTTCAGCGTTTTTCAATCAACATTATGGGTTGTTTACCAGTCAAGCCGGCCAACTATCATACACTCATCCTAATCCAGAAATGATTTTGTATCAGCTTTTGGCATCCTTGATGATGTTTGATGCACACCAACCCGAAATCCACCAGGAAAAGTTGTTCTTGCAAAAGTATTGCAAAACGGAGATGAGTAACGTTCTTGAAAGCACAAATATTCCTCTGATCCGGTTGATGTTTTGAAGTCCATTGATCGCGCCCTTCTTTTGAAAATGGGAAATTAGATATAAGGGGATAACTTACGAGAGCGTATAATTACAGCAGTATATACCTGAGCTTCGGAGACGAAACAGAACTACAATTCATTGGTAGGAAGATATAGGTGCACCTGTCCGTTCTGGCTTATTAAAAATCATTTTGCACCGTCCTTACATAGATTAGAGTGGCGATGTGACATTCAGAATTGTGTGGTAGCAATTTGTGAAGTGGCCTGCAGTGGCCTCAACTATGAATCAGACAGCTAATGTTTCAAACAACCCGACGCTATACTGAATATATTCCGGAACTGGGGGGATTCTCATATACATTGGGCATGATAATCACAGAACAAGCGAATTTCAAGCAAATACATCCCAAAAAGTACACATATTATCCTATATTTTTTAATACCGAAAGCGAGAAATCAATAAACTTGACGCTGAACAGGTTGCACACAAATTAAATCGAGTAACATCGACAAAATTTCAAATCTCAACCGAAAGAGCCCTAACGCATACAAGAAAATGAGTCATCCTGTGGTATATAGGCAGCGCAATAAGCCATAATGCCTGGAACATTTTGTGGACAATCAGAGAAGACATGTTGATATGACAGTGTGGTTTACTCAACATGATTGATAGCGCGTAATACGATAACAAAATGATGATGCCAATACAAAATAAGCGATTTTGATGCCTAAGCGATACCATGGAAAACTAATTCTGCAACGCATCTTTTTATGTGCATTCGTAGACGCCCTTTACAGCATCGTGACTGATCCGTTTCGCGACAAATTGCGTGAATCTTCTGTAAACACAATGATTCAGCATTCTGAATGATCCTTTGTGCGATAATTTGTGTAATTCAAAAAACCCCGTACAACCGGTGACCACTTGACTAATGTTTGCACATCAAAGAATATTTCACCACAAATTTCAAAACGTAATGAGTGAAAGTAGTTTTCCTCAGAAGGACACCTATAAGCTGTATCTGTTGTTGATTCAAGCACTTCCTAGTCTAATCTATCCCATGAAAATCCATCGATGTAAAAAGTATGCACAGGCTTTCATGACAATTAGTTCATCAAAAGAAACCCTGGGACCCATAATAGTGACGGACAATGCAAAAGACAAAATCTCATTTAGGACAATTTTGATGACGATCTGCGGAAAGTCCGCAAGGTAACTGTGGGGGCCTTGACCATGTTGTCCTCCGAATTTCAAAACTATGCAGCCTTCTGGTAATATATGACAATGCGGCGTGCCTGTTATGCTTGCAGTGCTAAAATACACGATTTTAGATGGAAATCAATATGGAATCCTTACACACTTTGCCATTCAGCAGGGTGATTTGGCTTCATCAAACAAGGATAACAATAATAATGCTCAAGGTGTTATGATATGACAAGATCTCAGGAACCACATGGTGCTCATTGTTTGATTTTGTTCGTGTTTAAATAAATATTCCCTGAAAAGTGACTTTTATCTGGAACAAACAGTATTTGTCTCCCTGAGAGGAATGAAGCTCCTCTAAGTTCCGTGACTCATCAAACTGCACGGCGATTGCAAGCGTTTTCGCGTTTATTGAAAGTCCCACATTTGTTTCATTGTACTGTTCATCAAAACTATTGGACTTAAAAGCTGTGGAAAAATTTCAATTTAAAAACTCAAGATGTTGTTATTTCTTGCGGTTTTAACGTGTTGAGTTTAAGTGTGCTACTGGTGTGCTGAAGCGTTAATTCCCACCAGGAAGTCGTTCAAATATTTGAGGGAAACTGAAGACATGATCACCTACTCGTTTATATTTCAACAAAGAACAAAAGAAATAGACATTCCAAAAACATTCCATAGCGTGTAGAAAACACCTCATGTTTGATTTGAGCGCATAGTCTACGAAAAGCGAAATCCATAGCACAAATTTATGGTGCAATTTCTGCACTAATGAGGGACAATTTGTAAAACACAATTCCATTTTCTTGAAAGTGCCTTGCGCGTTAGTAAAATATTTGTAAAACTGTTTAGTCGATTTGAGTCTAATTAAATACAACGATTTTTCAACTATATGAAATTGCAAAACCCTCGACAAACTCATAACGGCAACTGCAACCATCCGAACTGTTGTAAACCATGTTAGTTTATACGCGATCGAATTCAAACGATGAAATAGTAGCAAGCGAATGTGAACAAAACATCATTTGTTCCTTCTTTTGCATGCTTACCCTCGGCTTTAAGATTTAGCAACTGTCGTCAATGGGGAGTTTCCAGTTGGTCCTTATCACTTAGATTGCATAGCTGGATGCACTCATCTTTGTTCTTGAAATACTCGGTATCAAGTTAGTGTTTTATCCACGGCGCAGTTGATTGCATGTTTGTTAAAATCATGTTTCAAGCTGGAGTATGCAACTGACGAGCTCGCCT